TACATACAAAGTGAGAACATGACGCTGTCGTAAATAGAAATACGTGTTCACCTTGCCTCAGGGGATGATGAAACCCAAGATGATGATTCCTGGAGCAAAAGCCAAACACCTGTCACTGTCCTCCTTCCTTTAAAAGAATGACCTGCCTTTCGAACTTGTAGCCATGCTCCTTCATATGCCAAGTAACTATATAAATATATGTGTAGTTCTTGGAGTGGGTAACTTTTTGACCAACAAACCCGACGACGATCCAACTTTTTTTGGGGGAGAGAATCAATTGAAGATTTTTTTCTTCGAGCAGCAATACTTCTGCTCCCTTAATTATCTTTCATAATTTTTTCACGAGTTCCGTCCTCCTAAGCCTTTTCCTACCTACACCCTCCGTCTGCCACGTGTCCACATCCACCAAGAACAAGCAGGAGAACAAGTAGGAGAGGATGGAAAAAGACGACAGCAGTTACCTATGGGCCGGATTGGAGTCCTTAATAATAATTTCCTATCCTAAATACATCGTCCTCGACCGGTAGCCCGTTCTCCTCACTATTCACCTGTTGTCCCGAGCAGTGGATGTCGGAGCAAGCCACATTTTACAACTGACTCTCGGATACCAAAAATCATTATCTTCCTTTTTGTGGCAGCAACCGACTGTTGTGCATTTAAAAACTGACTTTTAAATTCTACAACGGACAACAGGTGATCCAAAGACTGATGATGAGTGTCGTCACTTTCCTCGATCATCATCTGCTGGTGTTATGCTATCCTAGCAGCCAGCTCATGCTCAAACCGTTGAAACGCAATTTGAGCAGAGTTTCAAAAATGCGTGATTATCAAAGGATACGATAATGTTTGACCCGAGTCAGATCAGGCAGTAAGTTAGCATTGCATATAAGCAAGTACACACTATTTGCTGGTGACTGGTTTGCAAGAAGATACAAAAATGATTGCAAAATGAAAGAGCCCATTGATGCGTATGTACATACATATTTACAGATCCTCGCATCAACATGGAGGTATTTTCGTGGTGGAAGAGGAAACAAAGAAAGCGTCTCGCATATTATCGACTTTGCATGTTTAGACGAAGCAGGTGCATTTGCTCCTTCGGAAAACAACTGCTACTTTAATTCTATAATTTTCTCTGATAATTCGATACCTGGCCCAATCACAAAATCCCATGCGCTGCTCCACCACATACGTCGTAGCCATCCTATTGTTTATCGTAAATGAAACCTGTTTTAATTTAAATGCTTTTGTAATGCTGCTAGAAATTTCCTTTGATTAAACAATTACTTAACTTTGTATCTGACTGCCGGCCATTTTAATTAAGAATTATTACTCCGGTTGGGCTTTTAAACTGAAAAGCCATATCAAGTGTCTTGTCAATCTACAACTTTATATGTCGTACAACAACCCTCCTGAGAGACACTTATTGAATTCTTCTTCAGGTAAATATTCTGGTATGAATATGGTAGTTTAAGATAATGGGCAAGATAAGGCGACGGTGGATCGGATTGGAAGGTCATCAAACATTCAGCTCCTCTGAACACAGGTGTGGTTATACAACCGCGAGAAGCAATGTACTTTTGTTCAATTTTTCATCGTTCTATTGAAAATATTCCTAACAATTCTTCAAAATTCAGCGTGGTGTACGTATAACTTTGCATGTGATTATGATAACAACTATAATCGTTTGGCCATGTCTGTCTAATATACCTCTCTGGAGTTTAGACTCCTTGCTTTCATCATCGCCGAGGACATTTGCAATGTTTGCTGGTATGTACATATGTATGTGTAGATTGCTGTTTGGATATCATATAAACCCATAATCTCTCTGAACTAAACTGACCAAGTGCAATTGATGGAACCATTTTGCAATCAAACACCTGTTCGTCTTGTTTATGATGATGATAATGAGTGCGCTTGACGACGACGATTAATAATTCACGTAAAAGGAAAATAGCATACAAATATGTTACAACAAGCATGATAACACGTTCGGACACCTGACCTGCACTGCAAATTTGCACTTTCAAGGTGAATCATGTTGGTGCAAATGCACTCCAAAAAGATTCCATGATACGTACCGAACAAAAGTTCCGATTTGTCACTCCAATCTATATAAATATCTATGCGGTCAATTCCGAATTGAAAACAGATGGCACGTTAATTTGGTTTCACAAGCATGTTAACGTTTAACCATGTTGTAATTCGTGGTGATTATTTTAAATTTTATGGAATTAACCAAGAATTATGGAATCATTAAGAAATTGCGTAACTGGGACCGTTCTTCTTCTTTTTTGTGTTACCCCAACGGATTTATATAAAAACATGGCAGTATTATTTTGCATCGTAACAAATGCATATCTCCATTAAATCGAACTGATTTGAAATATCGATAATTTTAAACACAAGCAGAAAACTGTTATTGTGAGCATTTAGTGTGTCAAGAATGTGATGGAGGAGGAATGATTAGTTGTTTATCGTGCAAGCAAATTATCTGTAGGAAAAGGATGCGAATCTTTTATTAGAGCAATCAGGCAACGTTAAATGATAAGGAACAAACTGGGTTGGACGGAGATGGCAGAGAGCAAGTGGCAAATGTATGTAAGTATTTACAAGTAAAGCACCTTCCACCAAACGGATCATGGGTACGATTTAAAGGAGCATTTAAGGATTTAAAACAGCATAAAATCACAAGTCATTCATAGCATGTCTCAGTTAGTGGGCTTTCCTTCCATTCAGAACACAATGCAATTCAAAAGTTAAGCGATCAAGACATGAACAATGAGAGCAGTGTCGTCCCTTCCGTGTTTCTCGTTCGTATTTGGTTGCAAGGGCAAAGGTTACTAGCTCTTCCAAGTCATTATTTCTGCAGACCCACTAAAATCCATCCCCCGCCTACGCTCCTCCATCTCTACGAAATCGCAACAGTATTTTTATGTTATCTCTCCTTACGACTCCTCGTGATTTCATGGTATCAGCAACCAACGCAAAGTTCGTATACCCACCGACCGCAGCACGATGACGCTTCGAGATTTCCTTCCATTTTTATCATCTCCCATCATCAACAACAATAGCAGACGACGAGGAGAACGAGTGAGAGATGGGATGATCTATATCCGCAATTTCAGTTTATTGCTCTGCTCAATCATCACCCAAACCATGCAAAAGCGCAAAAAGCGCACCGACGCCGCCGCCACCGTCGCTCCTTCCTCTTCTTGATCTGCCGTGTGCTAAATGGGCGACCTCACCTCTTCGACAACCCATTCTCTAGGACAACAATATGCTAATTCAGGCATGTTTAGTGTAACAATGCAATGAGATTTTTAAAACACTTACTGTACAATTATTACATTTTTTCAATAATTTTCCTACAATGAATTAGTAGCAGATCATAAGTTTACTACATATTGTGTCAAAGTCAAATAAACTTTAAGCACTATTTTCATAGAGCCGCAAAATGGAAGTATTTATTAATATGGTCTTAACAGGTACTCGGTTTTGATTTATTTATGTGTCAAACATCGTCTTTCTTTTGTAGTGTGGGTGTCACAACGGTGAAGTTGCAGCCCAAGAAAGAAATCATCATCATGCAGGATGCAGAAAACTGTACATGGGTCGAGAAGTGCTGATACATTTTTTTATTTCTTCGAGTGCTACTCCAAAAATGTATTGGATATCGAAATGATCTTTGCCGACTCGTTTTCTAAAGGAAATTACTAGTGAAGGGAAAAAACGTGACCAATGAAACGATCGAAACGTGGCTTATCGATGACAATATGAGAATGAAATTATACGCAATAAATGACGAACGATTATTCTGTTATTATGCTCTCACTCGCTCACTCTATACAATTATTTATAATAAAAAGTCGCTTGCTTATAATAATGATAATTGTTGGACTCTTGCTACCGTGTACTTCGTGCAGTCGGGGATTCGGCAGCACAACAGACGTGGCAGGAGATTGAATTGAATTACAGTTTATACAAAAGAAATGATTCGAATAAACACTTCTGCCCACTTCCAATTTGACCAATCACTTGTCAAAATGTAATTCAGTTTCGTATCGACATACATTCAATGGAAATGCAAGTGTATTTTATTCAATGTCTCGTATTTTGTGCCTACTAAAAAAAGAGACATTAACAAAATTTGAAGATGCAAGAAGCATATTTTTCGCGAAATATACATACGACAAAAAATCCTTCTGCAAACATGGCCGAGAGGAAATATCCAAATATTTTGTTGTTTGACTAACAAGAGAGCGAATGGACGGCTATAGTAGGAAACAGGTGGTTTCATCCTTCTTATCATTTCCAGTAATGGACTGGTGTTTCTGTAATTAACTTTTTGACTCGGCAGCAACAGCAGCGACTGACATATGGCACTTATCTCTGATTCTCATTATTATATTACATATTTTGAGCTCTGGTAGTGCTCTGCTCTCGGTCTCTGCATCTCATCCGCCAACTTTACAACCACAATATAATTATGCCATGCATGCATGTGTGTAAGTTGGCTGTTATTATTACAAAGCGGATCAAACCAACTAATTGGTAAGAATGGAACAAGTTGCAAAACAAGTTGATCTCCCCTCGTCCTCCTCCTCCGGGGAAGGAATAAAGTGTCACTCACTAGTCGTCGTCGTCGTCAATGATGGCGTGTCATGGGTTGGGCTTCACCTAAAAATATGCAGAATTTCCGCATTATTATCCATCTAAACATGAGAGTATGATCAAGTGAAAGCAATTTGCTTATTACATGCAGTCGGTGGTGGTGGTAGTGGTGTGATTAAGTGATTAGCTAAAATGGTTGATGGAAGCTAAAAAAGATCCAGATGACGTTCATAATTCTGACCCGTGTCCTAAGCGGATTTATATTCAGTGACCGACAACTGAACATGCATATGTCGAATGAGGATGTAGACGTGTCATTCTTCTACACAATAATATGTACTTACGATGATCAGTAGACGAAAAAAATCGATACTAATTCTAAGTAATATTGTTTTTGTTGTTTTATTAAATGCGTCAAACAAAACACAAACGGAGCTATTTAAATAATTCACAAACTATTTAATCTCATTAATAATCTCTAAATATGAGCTATTCTTTGTATATCAAATGTGTAAAAGAATAAGCGAATGTTTTTACATTATTTAGTGACTCGAAATCTCTTTTAACTATAACACCAACCAATGGCACAAGTTGTACTTTTACAGAATAAAAAATAATTGGTATTGAACACTGGGTGCAGCAGAGAGAGAGAGAAGGAGGCAATTTCTCTGTCGTATCGTCATAATTAATATTATTCTTATTATTATTACGGCGATGATGAGATTTTAGTCGGAATTGCTCAGAATGCAGTTGGAGCATCCACCTTCCTCATGTTTGGTGAGCAGAGACATTCGGGAGAAAGTTTTGGAGCAGGATTTACAGGAGTACTTCTTCACGTCCGAATGCGTTTGGAGATGGGCACGAAGGTTAGACCGGTCAGCAAAAGCTCGATTGCAATGGTGACAAATGAAGGGTTTCTCACCAGTGTGGGTGCGGATATGGCCTAATCAGAAAAATTAGTTTCATTAGTTTAATTGCCCAAATTAATTGTGATTGTAATATTTTAAGAGCTACTGATTATTTTTGCATACCTTGTAAAAGCCATGGTCTTGAGAACCGTTTGTTACAAAGGCCACAACAGTTTGGTTTAGTATGACTTCGCTCATGCATTTTAAGGGCTCCCAAAGAGACGTACACTTTTTCGCAAAATTTGCAAACGAATGACTTCTTATTCTGACTTGCACAATGGAATTGCATATGTTTGTGAAGCCCAGCATGGGTGGAGTAGGACTTGTTGCAATCGGGACACTGGTAACGAACACTCCCATTCACATTTATGGGAACAATTGCTGTGGCGTTGGCCATTTTTTCTTGGTTATTCGACTCTTTCGTGTTGAGTACGGAATCAGGATGCGAAATTGGTGAGCGACTTGGTGGGGAAAGTTGATGGTGGTGGTGGTGATAGCTGTTGTTGTTGTAGTACGGAGGAGGAGATTCAGTGGTTTGGTGGTAGTAGCTCTCTTGCTTAATTTGATGGTGTTGATTTTGAGGGAAAGTCTTGATGTCATCCATGTATCTGGACTTATTGTTGTGCTCCTCAATTCTTAAAACGGGGTAGGCTGGCTCATGGCTGAGTGGGGGTGAGATGTGGGGAGGTGACCCTGGTTCTCTAAAATTATTCCCTGAAGATGGGGTGAAATGAGATGGGGGTAAGAATTGTCCAATATTTTGCTGGGTGGACGATCTGGGCACGGAAGGACTAAAAATTCCAACTGACTTTGTAGCAGGAACATAATTGAGAGGCATTGTAGGCACATAGTTTATCTTGGACCATGCAGCAGGAGCATTTAGGTTAAGAGGTCCAAGGGGGCCACTGGTAGTTGAGGAGGAGGAGGATTTTACTTGATAATGAGCTTGATAATGAGATGGTGAAATCATTTTGGGCTCAAATTGAACAGATTCTGATTGACGAAACTGTTGATGAGCTGCTGAGTAACTGTCACCTCTACCAGCAATTAAAGAAAGTGGTGGAGGTGGTGATGACGTGAGGATAGTTTTCTGAGTATTGGTTACTCGCAGATCTTCTGGTTTGGTGGACAAATTTTCTGGCTCTGATAAATCCATTGGAAGGGACGGAGACGGACCTGGAATTGTTTAATGTCGTGTTTAATTTTTAATTCAAGTTAGAACCAATTGGTCGGAAAAGAGAATAGAACGGCGTGGGTACCTTTGAAGGATAGGTCGGAATCCGAATTGGAGTCTTCCAGAGGATCATATTTGAGTGGCCTCTTTTTGAGAGGACAGTGGCTGTAGCTCGAAGGCCGCTTCATTACGCCAAGTGGCATTTCGAATAAATTTTTGTCACTGAAACTGTTGACACAAGTCACAAGATGATGATATGTTGGATGACGAGGCAGGGTGAGACTTTGAATAAATGTGTGTGTATAGTACGTCTGACGTCTTTACTGGATGCGTGCGAGGCACGGACTGAGCCAAAAGTCCAAACTGGTCCACATCTTATATTATCAGGTGTGTATTATCCGATCTCTTTCTGCTGCTCCCCTCCAACCAACCATCCATCCGACCTAACCAACCAACAACATGCGTTTTACGATGCGATGATGCCAAGGGGAGTACTGCCAACCAGCACGTGCTTTGTGACCAATATGTGAGAGGGGTCTTATTTTCTCTATAAACGCGAGAGGATATACGAATATCATCCATTTCAAAAGTTCACCACTTGCAGATGCAACGTTTAAATCCCTTTCTTCTTTCTTTGGCAGCACAAATTAGTATGCATTGGTACATTTGCTTGGTACCCAATGTCTCGTCTTATTGTCGCGTATTGGATTGGAGAATTTGCATATTGTATGAATTCATTTCGTGATAAGCAGCAGTCTTACGAAATTGACAAGCAAAGACAATTATGCTAAGCTATATGACTAATAAGAACACTGATCCTGACGAGTATTGGTTGGTTATTGGTATCTGATTGATGCGGTATACAACCCCGATATATTAGAGATGATGCAGAGTGGTGGATATAAGGATTCGAAGAACAAGAGCACCAGATGCCGGGTTGTGTGGTACGTACGTACGTATAATAAGTACAGAGAGCGATCTTTCTCATTTGAAAGAACAGGTGCAAGTTGGAATCCCATACACCCCATGCCCATACATTTGCAGAGGGATCAAGTAGTCCTTGGCTAACCGACGGACCAGATTTTCCGTTGGTGGATCCGAAAAACATAAACTTCCCTTCATCATTTGTATACATTATTATTACGCGAGAGAGATGTTGGCTGAGCACAAATGTTGCTCCTCTTCTTCGCTCCGAAACGACCAAGGGAAGAAGGCAGGAAAGTGTTCAAAGGGATTTTAAGGGTTGACCATGCTTCATTGGGATCGTATGGCATTTTCGTAATGGAAATATATGGCATATGGATAGAAGATGGAGTGAAAATAATGAAAATGTTTTGTGTGCATATTTCCAATATATTTTGGGTGGTGGCATTTGATCTTCAACATCTGAAAAACTTTCATCTGCTGCCCCGACCTCTCAAAAGGGTGCAACCCCCGAAATCCATTATACACATTTTTCCATTGATCAATCTTATGCACTGATCTTTGGTTAAGCATTATGGTTTTACAGTAAGAGATACATACGTGGTGGTGGGGTGGGGGTGGATTTATTGTGCCTAAAAAAACTACATACCAGTTCGGAGAATTTAATGTGAATGAATTACAAAGTAAACTTATACCTGAGAGACAGAAATACGTGTAAAAACAAGAGTTTATGCAAAAATCTCAATTTCCCCAAACAATGCGTCAAATAACCAACATACTTGCAGATGTAGAAAATAGTTCACATTTTGTATTCAACGCTTTACAAATTACTCTGCATATTGAATTTCTCTGATCATCGCTTATTAATTAAAAGGATTAATCGATGATTGGTAAAAGTGGTGCACACATGTATACTCGCACGACTACTCTCTGGCTGTCCCATTAGTCTTGCATAAATAATTTCAAACTCATGCCGGAGAGTGAATGTTGTATGATTATCCCTCCACGGGAAAAGGAGCCCCTCTCGATCCACCACCCATCCACACTCGTTGCTGTGACCTAAGCAGTGGGATGGCAAGTCTGAATTTTTATACCGAAAACATTTTTAATGTTTCGTCGGCAGGAGCAGCTGCACCGGAATCCCTTTTTCTAAATAAAGGTGTATATGTACGTATGCATTAACCGCCTCGCGCCTCGCCTGGATCGGTCGCGAGCCCAACGAAATCCTTCAGCAGGGTCCTTCAGCCCTGGATCTATGCAATCATGGTTGGTGGCTGAAATCAGGACAGAGATCACTGCGGCAGTTGGTTCTAACCGTGTATAAAAGATTAACCTTCGCCTTTCACTCTGCAATGGCCCATGGTTGGACAAGTACCACTATTCACCTTTTCAAATCTTTGTCATATTTTTGCCATCCTATTTCAAACTTTATCGCACACAATACCCAAAATCCTTCAGCTGGTGCAGATGGATTTGTCCGGTGCGTAACGATCTTCTCTTTTCGATATATGGCAAGACACCCCACACCCCGTATCTCCTTTCTTTTTATGCAATGTGTCAACTTGTTCGACCTCATCCACACTGGACGCATTGTGCTCCCAACTAAATATACGTCCTATACGTGCACATGGTTAATTGTTCACATTTCTGAAATGCAATCTCAACCTGGCATCATCATCATCATCGCCAACGTTCCCTGATGATCCATACGTATGCACAAAGTGGGAGGAGAGGAAGAGCAGATGAAAAACATTCTGCTTTCACACAATGCGGATTTCCTTCCTTTGGATTTTTCTTTTCGATTTTCCATAACAAGTCCGTTACAGGTTTTCCAACCGCGCGTGCCTCGTCCTTTGTCTACTCCAACAACGCCGCTCTAAACCTACACATGCGATATGGAACCATACAAGATATTCTTTGAACTGCATTCAAGTATTGGTTGCGTAAACGTAATTCAGTTGACAAGAATTGGTCAGAATAAATTGTCTTTTTGGCATTTTTCTAAGAAGAAAGTTTAAGCACTAAAAGAATCTGGTCATAAATAGTCATAATGTGTTCTCACATGCACACTTATGTATGTACGTATGCTTCTCCGCGGTGTTAAAAAAGTAGTTAGAAAGTAAAAGTTGGCTCACAAAACGGTCTTAAAATAAAATATTTTTACGAATATATTTTTTTGGTAGTAAAATAAGAAAAAGGATTAAGGTAAATCTAAAATGAAAATAAAATAAATCTATTTTCAGTGTTCTCGGAACATCATATATTTCCTCAAAAGTGTGAGAACACTGATTTTCACCACTGCCACTTTATCCCTGCTTTGCCATGTATTGAACCAATCTTTCAACCATGAGCATTTAAAGAAATTTGAAAGTTTTATTGAATTTTTGTAGGTACATATTTACAAACCGACTTCTCGCTGCTACTTGGTGTGTGTTTAATATGAACAGAGTAGAGATGCGAGGAGAAGATAATAAACAGAGAGGAAAAGTCGTAAAATAGCTGAGCCAGCAAAGAGATTGTGATGATAGATTTTCTGGACATTTTCCCCTTTTGAACAATTTTAATGTGGAAATTGTGCATTGAACATGGTCTGCGGGAAACCACCAGCATTATTATTATGATGATGATGACAAGCAAACCTGACAAGTCAACTACTGGTAATAAAATTGCCAACATTTCGCAACCCTGTCAAAATCCATTCCTTTTTCTATTCATATGGTAATGTTTTCTTTTTGGTGAAAACCTGTGCACTCTCGGTCGTTAAAGTCTCTTTCCACAAATCTTGAAACTCTATTTGTTGACAAATCTAATAGAGATTTTTTTGTGTGTTTGAAACATAAACTTATTTCTCATCATAATTGAAATGCATTACAAATTTTCAAATTTCATAATAAATAATTTCAAAAGTTTTACCATCATATTTAGTTTCATCAATTTTAACATGTGCAACATTCCTGTAAAAATATTTTCCAGTTTCCTCACCATTAAAGATTCAGTAAAGGTTAAGAATGTCTAAATGTTGCAAGATATTGTTGGATTTGATTTCATGGTTGTCGAAACTAACTCATTCTTATAAGAAATAAAGAAGGGACATTATTCACTAGGAATTTTCTCAATGTCCACTCTTCCTCAATCCTCTCCTTAGTTCTTCTTCTCCTTCTTTTAGTTGTTCAGCTGAACACAAAACTTGGGGAGCAGTGGAGCATCTGAACGCCATTCACAAAACACATTGACAGAAATCTTGGGTTACCTAATCGTCGTCGTCGAGTTCAGCCAGCCAACCTGATTTGACTCAACATGGGCTTTTCTACTTCATTCATGATGTGTCAAATATTTTAGTTTTGGAAACGGACAAAAGTAAGTCAACACCTGTAAAAAGCCAGTGACGCAAGAAGGATGGAGAATGTTGAATACGTATTTACTACAGAAAAATGTTAAATTGAATTTACGGATACCAAAAACGTTGGTTATTTTATTTCAGACATTTTTAAAACGCCTCTCGCTCTCTCTCTCTCGCTGCTATCGGCACATGTGTCAAAGGTCCATTTTTTATCACATCTCTCTTGTCTACACAAGAATTTCTTTGGTGAGCAAATTTTTCATGCCTTCTTTTCAACTCGTTCTATTGTGTTTGACTCGTATCGATATTTCTGAAAGAAAACAACACAGAATTCGCCTTGCTTATGAATTTTTATTGCACTGCACTATTCGTCAAGTTATGACTTGAATACCAAAGTTATCATCGCCAAAAGTTAAAGAAAAATTATATCGCTCGTAGAAAGAACTGTCCAATTGATATGAAATCAAATAAGTAAAACCTAATTTTTGACAAGGAAGGTCTTCTTTTGTTACTGCAAGTAAGGAAAAAAGGAAATGATTATTTTGTGCAGGTTGCAATTAGTACAAACAAAAGAGATTATTATTCTAAAAGATTCGGTTCTTTTTGAATAATTCTTATTTCTTCATCTCAAGCGAGTAGTGAATTATTGTGTAAGCTTGTCAAGGGGGTGGTTTCACAAGTTTTGGCTCTGATTTACATTTCCATGCGAGAGGCGAGAGCATACATGCATTTTTTGGAAGGCAATTTTATTATAAAGAATTGTTTTTATTCGCCTTGTGGAATTATTTCGTGGGTGCATCTGAATATATGAATTTTTACGAAGTAAAGCGTTCTTTTGTAAATAAATGTGGTGGTGATAATGTTGTGTTAGGTTGAAAAATCCTTGAACACAATTTTTAAGATTTTTTTCCTGGTTTATTACACCACCATTCTCAAATTTTAAGATCTATTTTGAAAGTTTTGACTAAAAATTGGAAATTTGTCATAGATTTGCATTTATAGATTTCTTAATTAACTGTAAACGTATTCAGATAATTTTTAAGATGAGTAATCATATTTTCTAAAATTTGAAATGGAATATGCACTGAAATGAACA